TATATATATATATATATATATATATATATATATAAATTCAAAAAAAAAAAAACAAAATCATTTACCTGGCATCTCATCTTTACAGTAGATCAGACCCGGATCATTTGTTATGTCTCGTCAGGGCACTCAGATGTTATGTGGCTCATGTGGAACCATTTCGAGGCTCTAGGAACAGACTTTTTATTCATTGAGATCCTGCACCATCCAGAATTTATCACCTGTTACTTGAACCAAATGGCTTCAGAAGTTGATCCATATTGCCTATTCCGGCATATCAGTTAACGATCGCAATATGCTCCATGTCACCTCTCACCAGATTCGACACCTATCAATGTTTATGATTGCTTACTTGGACTGTTCTCTAGAAGATATTTTACAGGCCAGTATGTGGACTTCTCCCAACACTTTCATAGTTCATTACCTTCACAATCTGTCGGTTTCCTATTCAGTGGGATTTCGTCTTCCTCTCGTGGCTGTGTTGACTACCTCTACTAGATTTTAACAGGGAGGTGAGTAACATATTAGCTGTCTTACAGTTATTGTCCTTTTCTCTTCTAGGGTCTCTTTTGATTTCTTTTGGATCCTACTCAGAGGCGAGTGTTGCCCAGTCAGGTATGCTTGTATTTAAATTCCACACTAGCAACCTTTATATTGGTTACTTGTAGCAATGGGCTCTGTCGAGATGAGGTGTTCCATAAGACCATCTGGATGCCATTCTGGATGGTGATATCATATTACAATATTTCTAATCAACTGCTACTCATAAACTATCATGAGTAAAGCTAAAGGGGATGCTGCCAGTCCCTGCTAATCTTAGAGATGAATCAGTCGAGATCAGTTTGCTTTTAAAAATTAGGGAATGTGGTTCACCTGTTACACTGTCTCCAAAGGCATGTTCCCCAGGACTCCCCAACACTTATATTCCACCCTTACTTCTACTAGTGGAGCTCGGGAGTCCTTACCACATCCAGTTTCCAGCCACTGGGGTGAAGGACAGAAGATTTTCCCTCGGGGTGTTGAGTTTTCTCCACTCTCCAAGAAGAGGGCGAAGTTGGGGAACCTCCTACTTGGTTTTCCCAGATGTCTGTAGGAGCAGGACCAACCTACATGGGAGCCTACTCATAAAACCAGACCAGATTTGACATATAGGTATCTGGTGTGGGGACAGGTGTTTGGACCCTCTTATGAACACTGTAAATTCTAATATTGTTCATGCAGAGGGTCCACTATCTCCATGTAAATCCGAACCTTGGCACAGTCCCATCTTTCATCCTTGGTGGGACAGTGTTCCAAATCCTCTCCATAATTCCATGAGTAAGCAGAATTCTCCTTGCCCATCTGGCATGAACAGGTGGTTAGGGTGCTCAACTTGCAATCAGCGGGCCGCGGGTTCGAATCCCTGTCACTCCAAACATGCTCGCCATTTCAGCCATGGGGACGTTATATGTGATGGTCAATCCCACTATTCGTTGATAAAAGAGTAGCCCAAGAGTTGGCGGTGGGTGGTGATGACTAGCTGCTTTCTCTCTAGTCTTACACTGCTAAATTAGGGACGGCTAGAGCAGATAGCCCTCGTGTAACTTTGCGCGAAATCCATAACAAACAAACAATCAAACTATTCAGAACAAGTTAATGTATGAACAATAAGTTCTTCAACACCATAGGTATTATGGACATATCATAAATACTATATATGTAGTTCTCTATTTCTTGTCAAATATCCACTTAGGCATATTCAATTACTATAGAATTTCAGCTGTCAAGCCGAACTATCTTCTCTATTCCTATTGCACTAGTACTATCTGTGATTCACTTACAATTGTGGCTCAAGTTACGGTAATCTTTTGGTCTTTCTTTTTGAAGATCCTCTATTCCTTTTGTCAAAGTACACTCAGGCTGATTCAATTACCTTAGAACCATGATTTGAAGAA